GAATTTGATGGAGAGTGGTTATGGAATCAATGAGCTCTGTTTCAATTTTCCTCAGAATTTGATGGAGAGCGGTTACGAAAATGTTTCAAGCTGCAAAAAAAAAAAAAAAATTATTTATGCTTATCGGTCAGATTTGATGCACCGTTGGAGTTTCTGATATCAGATTTGGTGAAATGAGTCATTTTTTACTCAAATTTGGTAAAAAAAGAAGTTCACCGTTGGAGATGCTCTAAATATTGATTCAAGTATTTTATTTATTTTGTTTCATTAAGTTTTTGTTTTCATGTTTATTATTAATGGGGTGTTTGGTGTGGCTTATTTTGGTCAATTTATAAATTCTAATTTTGGAAAAACTATTTTGGACTGTTTGGTTAAACTTATTTCAAATAATTTCTAATTCTAGAAATTTATTTTAACTCAAAAAAACTAATTCTGATAAGCTGCCCACACCTTATTTCTTATTATCAGCTTATACTGTGGGCATACTGATTGACAATTATACCCTTAATTTTTATTTTATTTTTTTTTAAAAAAAAGAAAAAGATCCCAATGGACAATGTGGATTAGCAGTGAATAACAAAAAAATCAAAGTTAATTCAAAAAATTATTTTACAATTTATTTATCAAATATTATTCAGTAACTTAAATGTATAATTTAACAGTTACACCAAATAAATTAATAATTTTTTATTAAAACTACAATTTATAATCTTTGAAGGTATCATCTATAATATGTTGTAACAACCAAACATCCCTATTATTAACCCCACTTGCAAGACTTTTTGGAGTGAGAATGCGGGTGGGAAACGAAAGAGGGAAACGAAAGAAAAAAAAGAAGTTTGGTGGCTGATCAATTGTGCTCATTGGTGGCTGATCAATGGTGAAGCAAGAAGAGGCTGTCGATGTTGCAAGGCGTCTGCAATTGAGGGAGTTGTTTGGGTCTCGGAGAAGAGGAGAGTGAAACAAGAAGAGGAGAGTGAATGGTGCAAGAAGAGGCTGTCAATGTTCAGAGGTGAAGCAAAGGAGGTTCGGTCACGGGTGGTTCTCGACGGCAATGAAGCCTGAGTGTTCGGCAAGTATGGAGGTTGAGTGTCCGTCAATGGTGCAGGGTGTTCGGGTCAGGCATGGGGCTCAAGAGTGTATCAGTGTTTGAGTTAGACGTGGGGTGTTTTAAGAGTGTATCAGTGTAGCAGTGTGTGGCTGTGTTTTAGGTGGGGGCTCATGTGTGTGGTTTATTTTATTTTATTTTTTTGTTGTATTTTAAAATTTAAAATCGTGAAGCTTAGGAGTTGGTTGTAAGAACGCGAGTAGCAGTAGTAGGAGAGTGAGTATTTACTCTTCAAATCTCTCTCATTGCGTTTTATTTCCTTGTACCTGTAAATTTCATGTTTTTAATGGAATTTGTCTTTGCCGATCAAAAAAAAAAAAAAATTTTGTGCTCATCATTGTGCCTCAAGGATGACCAGATATGATAAGATTTGTCTTTGATTATTGTCTCTTAAAAATAAAAAGATATGATAAGATATGTCTTACTTTGATAATTGTATCTTAAAAATGACAAGATATGATAAGATTTGTCTTAATAATTCAAAACTTTCGAAGAAGTTATAGTACATAAAACAAAGAAATTACTCTACATGTATTCACTTATTACTATTAATAAATATTGGTAAATGAATATTTTTTTAAGTTATTTTATTTTATTTTTAATTTATGCTTTATAATATTTTAGATATTAAAAAATATTATGAGAAAAAAAATTTTATTATGGATGTTAAATTGATATAAAAAATTATGAATTTTAAAAAAAAATTGTAAAAGTTTTTTTTTTTTTTTTTTTTTTTTTTTCCAGTTGCAGGTATAAAAAAATAAAAATAAATAAAAAAAGTAACTATTTTAAATTAATGTTTTTAACAATAAGTTTAAATAATAACTTACAACTTAAAAACATTTTGTTTATAAGTTTTTTTTTTCTTTTTTAAATTTTATATCAAAATTTAATTTTTCACAATAATGACTATTTAAAAAAATTAGAAAATCTTGACAAATTTTTTTAAATTAATATTTTACATATCATATTTTACTTTTTACAAATCATTACAAGACAAAATATGGAAGGAAAACAGTTAAATGCGGTGTGTTATTAGTTTTATGCATTTAAAATTAATTTAAATGCAAAAGAGGACCCAATTTTCAAGAAATGAAGATAACTTGTTTAGCAAGTAATATTTTAAATAGTAAGTTTATTCATAACAAATAGTAAGTGAGTGAATAGCAAATAGTAAATATGTTTGTAGCATATGATAAGTTAGCATCATTTTTATTTTTATTTTTAAATTAAGTAAAACTACTATACTTTTTAGAAAACTACCTTACTTTTTCTATTTAGTTTTACTATCTACTAATTCAATGATTAGCATTCATCCTATCTAAATCTAATGATCCATATTTTTTTATGTACCATGCATGAAAACTACTTTCATATATGGTAGAATTTTCTTGCGATGACATGCTCCATCACTCCCATGATTTGTAATGCTCGAAAAACATGCTTCCAGTACTTTTGCCTGGATATTTGCCTGGATATTTGCCCGGACATCCGTTTGGACATTCACTCGCGCTTCCAATGGAGTGTGGTGGCCCATAATCAAGCAGTGATTTGATAAAATCCAAATATCGGCTCCAATTATTTGTCTCAACAACCCACGAAGAATAGACCGGGCCGTGTCCAAGCTTAATGGCTCCCATGACCATAAGCTCGCACCCGTCATGGTGTTTCCCTTGTTACCTATTTAAAGCCCTCCTTGTTGAATTGAAGAGCAATCTCTCCTCGATTATTTCACATCTCTTCCAGATCACTTATTATCTCTCTGGAACACATTTGTATATAGTCCCACCTTAAGAGAGTTTATTTTTAAGATAGAGAGAGAGACATTTTTCCGAGAAAGCTTGTAGTGAGAAACCAATGTATTATTCTCTCTTGTTTACTTGATGATTCATTAGTTTCTTAGGTGCTTCATGATAATTATCAAGTTGTAATACTCTTAAGTACTTTCTTGAGTATTTCCTTCTTGGTGGATTCCAAGATTTATTTTGTGAGCTTTGGTGGATTTTGAAACAGTTCATTGTGGATTCAACACCGTTATTGTGAATTCAATAGTGGAAGTGAATATCCAGTGGAGGCGGAGGTGGAATTAATCTTAGATGGAACAAACTTGTGTGCTTGGAGTGGTCTTGGAAAGATATCTCTTATACTACTCTTTCTTCATAGTATATTATTCGTCTGGTCAAGGGCCCGTGATTTTTTTTATCACAAGTTGGTGAATTCCAATTGTGATTTTTCTCTGTAAAAAAATTTCGGTGTCATGGTTGTATTTTATTTTACTCTCTCTTTCTCTCTCTATTGATTAGGAATGACAACGGGGCGGGACGGGGCGAGACGGGACGGGACGGGACAGGACGGGGCGGGGCCAGGGACTACACTCTCCGCCCCCGATCCCTGAAGCTATAAAATTTTCCGTCCCCACCCCCGATCCCCAAGGGGGAACCCATCACCCTCCCTCACCCCCCTAACGGGAATCGGGTTTCCCCGACCTCAAACAATTCCCGCACAAAAACAACAACAATCAGCGAAGAAGATGAAGAGCAGAGAGGAAAGAGAAGAGAGAAAGTAAAGAGACAGGCAACAACAGATAAATCAGATCATATATATATATATATATAAATTGATCAAGATTTTTCAAAAAAATCATAGACCTGTTAAAATAAAATAAAAAAACCACAAATCTGTTAAAACCCTAACATAAAAAATTTAGATATGTTGAATAGATAAAACCCTAACGATAATACCCTAACAACAAAATTAGATCTGTATCCATATATATATAAATTGATTGAGATTTTAAAAAAAAAAAAATCATAGATCTGTTCAAAAAAACCACAGAACAGACGCGAATGAGGATGGCGATCGGTGGTGCTGCGGTGGAAGTAGTGTTGTGCAACGAATGATGACGATCGGTGAGTCATGTCACTACAATGGTGTGCAACATCAATGGTAGCGGGATCGCCTTTGGAGACGACGGTGATAGAGAAAAAAGTAGATTGGTGGAGTGAAGGAGAGAGAGAGAGGGAGAAAGAGAGAGAGAGACTGAGAGAGAAGAGATTGGTAGCAAGTGAAGAAAATCGGCAGTGGAAGAGAGAGTGGCGAGTGAAGAAGACCAGCGATGGAAGAGAGAGAGAGAGAGAAAGAGAATGAGTGAAAGAGAGAAATAAGAGATTCAATGGTGTATGTAAGTGAGAGAGGCTGAAAATGAAATTTAGAAATATATTATATATTAGAGGATGTTCGGGGTTTATTGGGGGCCGGGCCAGGGCCAGGGGAACCTATCCCTGTCCCCGACCTGAAAACCATCGGTGATTCAATTTTCAATACCATCCCCGGCCATATGGGGGATAATTTTCGAGAAAAACCCGTTCTAATCGGAGTCGGGGGTCAGGTCCCCGTCGGGCCGTATTCAAATTGTCATCCCTACTATTGATCATGATTGAATAATTTTTATTGAATTGCCTAAATCAATAATCACATAATCATGAGATAAATCCACATTTTTCATTAACCATTTTTTTCAAAAAAGGAAGTGAAAGTTCTGACCTCGCACTCTCGCGAATGCACACAAACTTTTCTCTTTAAGTTTACGCAATTTATTTATGGATTATAAATTTATAACTCAAAAAAAAAAAAAAAAAAATTGCACTTTAGTACAAGTTTCTAAAAGAAATTACAAATCAGTAAAAAAAAATTATTAATTTTAATAATTCAAGTTATAAAATTTTTTCATTAATTTATAAACATTTTATAGAAACACCATAAATTTACAATTCTCCCAAGAAAGAAAAGAAATAAAATTTAATTGAATTGAAAATATGAACCACTACTGCAGCTTGTGTCTCCTTTATAAAGTCCCAAGCCAAGTCTGCCAACCTGGTAAGCCACTGAGAGTTTCTTTGTTTGAGAGAGAGAGAGAGAGAGAGAGAGAGAGTGAAAATGGAGAGATCACCGCCATTGATGATGGATACATTTTTCATCCCACATGCAATGTCAGCACATTCATTTGAGACAACCGAATCGAGGCCATTTCTGAGAAGTTGGAAAGAGGTGGTGAAAATGCCGAAACCCAAATCAATTCTGATAGTTTCAGCACACTGGGACACCTCTCATCCTACTGTCAATGTTTCTCATCACAATGAAACCATGTATGATTTTGCCAATAACTTCCCTGCCTTCCTGTACCAGGTATGTTATTGTTAGTTAACTTCACTGTTCTGTGTTTTTTTGTTTTTAATAAAAACAATTATTGATGAAATTGAAACGGCGACAAAGTAAACAAAACAAAGTTCATTCCAATTTCCATCCATGTTTTGAAAACTGGACTGATAAGCGAATCGGAAAAAAAAAATGAGCAAATTATCTGAAAGTCAAATTTAAAAGAGGAGAAGTCTATGTAATCTCACAACCTTTTGGATACTTTCAAAAATCTATTACGTGTTTTTCTTCTTTGTTCTTCTCTGTGCATTTGTTTTTTTCTATCTCTTTCTTCTCATGATTTCTGGCAACCGGTGACTATGCCTTATTTATTCTCTTTCTCTTTCTCATTCTCATATATAGTCACCGATGACCGACAACCACCATTGATTGGAGTTCACCGATAACCACCGACTTCTTACTCCACCCTCACCGACAGTAAAAAAGGCGAATTTCTAGCAAAAAAAATGAGTAAATCTACTCAAATCTGATATAGATCTATAAGATCTGAGTAGATCTATATGAGATCCGAGTAGATCTAAACAAAAATAGTTGCTGATGTACAACCTTCTCTCTCTATATCTGTTTCTCTCTTTCAATTTTTTAATTTTTTTTCTACCTTTTCTCTATTGCACACTTCTATTTTCCTATTTTATTGGATAAAATTTTCAAATTCTGAACAAGTTATTTTAGAATTTTAGTTACAGATAGTGAAAACTGTAAAAATTTACAGTTTTAATTTTTTTGATACTGAAATGAATCACGCTTTAAAACTGTAAAATTTTGCAGTTTCATAACATTCTTTAGAATAGTAAAATCTTACAGTTTCATAACATGTTTTCTGGTTTAATTAATAAGGATAAATGTTTAATAGAATCATACTTTGAAACTGTAACATTTTACAGTTTCAACGCTTACTTTTCAATTTGATCAATATTGGAGATTATTTATTTAAACCCAACAAAAATTGAAAAATAATATATGTTTTGTTTCCATTGTTATTGTTGTTTTTTTTTTTTTCTCTTTCAGTTTATTAATATGTAGCACATTTCGCTATTTTTTTCACCATAATTTCTCTATTTATTCTTTCTTTTTCTTTTTTTTTTCCAACAATATTTTGGACATTCCGATGAGCTTTTAACGATATTCTTGACGTTCAATGAACATTCTAAACATTCCATTGATTTCCAATGACGTTTAGAACACTCCGACGAACTTCTAGCGACTTTTCGGTGATGTTGAACATTCCGGTGATTCTCCAGTGACCGTCTGATAGAAGTCCGGCAATGGTGGGATGTTGTAGCATTTTTAAATTTATAAAAAGAAAAAAGAGTTTTTGGTCATAATTAAAAGTATATAGGATTAATTGGTGCAAGTGTTTTGTTTTGAAATTAGATGCGTTTTGAACTTTGTATAGGAAACTTACTGGTAAGTGTCCCCGGATGGACGGACCGGATCAAACCCTAACGTCATAATTATGTCATAAATATTTTTAAAATAATATATAAATACAAATGTTGTAATAATTTTTTTAAATTAAATATTACGAAATAAAACTTGATTAGTAATTTTTACACTTCTTCAATTTTATAAAAATTAATATGTAACTATATAAAATATTATATATTATCGGTACTTGATAAGAATAATATATATATATATATTACAATTGCAATTATTTTTACAAACAAGTAGAGTGGCTTGGTGGCATCGGAGGCTCTATTTGTAGATAGGCACAAAACCGGTTAACCTTGGCACCTTCATTTGGTATACCATTTTTAATGCAAGGAAGATAGCCACAAAACCGTAACGGGTTTGGCGGTTTAATTGGGAATTAAAACGAATTTCACAAGGATCGGTTGCTGTGTCAATCGGTCTGATTTTCAAAATCTTGCCTTCCATGCTTATGAAAATTTTATATAGGAACAAGGAATAGTTACAAGTGTGTATGATATGAGCTGAACATTTCAATGAAAATTACTAGAGTGATGGAAATGATTTCCTAGGAGTATGCCAACTAGTTGGGTTTTCCATGACTTATTTTGCCTCCCTTTAGAAAGTGGGTTGGCTTTATGACTTTTTTAATTATTTTAGTCTGGGGTTAAAAAACTTAGTTTAGGAAAGGCTTTTGGTTTTTTTTAGCTTTTTTGACTTTTTTGCGAGAGAAAGAATGTAATGATTATGGTTTGAATGTGATGTTTTGTCTTATTGAGTTAAAAAATCTATTTTATTTTTTGTGACTAAAATAGCCAAAAAAACCACAACCAAGGCTTCCCAAACGAAACAATATATACATGGAGGTATTCACTCTTGTTTACATCAATAAATAAAATATCAAAAAAAAAATAATAATAATAAAATATTTGCAGGATAAAAAGTTATCTTGAAATGAAACAATATATACATGGATGTAATAAGAATTATGGCTAAAACTTCATTGCTAAAAAGTTTGAAAAACTAAGAACTGCCACACATCCAAAGCAAATCAAAAACCCTGGCAAGATGCCCAACAAACAACAAACCCCCAAAATTCTAAGCCATCCCTTTCAAGAATACATTAATTACCTGAAAACCAAACAAAATCACAGCCCCTCACATAGACAAAACTGGAGGTTGGATTACTAAGATCTTTGTCAATTTCATTGTCATAGTACAAGATACTTAAAATGCGGCTTTATAGACGTTGATTTCAATTCGCAAATTTAACTAATATAAAATAGATGAAAAAAAATGATATATACACACTCAACATGGGCCGACTTGTTGAGCCAGACCATGAGCTTGGCTTATAGGCGCAGGTTAGCCTAGGGATTCATTGACCATGAGGTCCACAAGTCAGGCCATGGATTCATCAACCTTGAGGTCAATTGGGCAGACTAAAAGGTGTTGCCCACCCTACGTCGAATAATTCAATGTTTTTGCCGATCAGTAGGTCGGACGGACACAACCTTTCTTTGACCATCATTATGACCTTGCTACTCAACTAAACTCAAGGAATCTTGTGGCTAACATGTCGTATAGAGGAACACATGGAGAGGTTTAGAGTAGTCCCCTCGCCTGCAACTGCCTATCAAATGTATCTCATAACCATAATTCCGATGAGTCTAGCATTCTACGTAGCGAACTCCCATTAGATGAAGCTTAACAAAGTTATTCTTTTCACATGGAAGAGATCTTAGAAGGGCTTCTTTTTTTTTTTTTTTTTTTGGTCAGCAAAAAAAACTTTGTTGATAGCATCAAACATACATACATACGGGTAACATCAATAAAGCGGAGGCGAGCAAAAAGCATCAAGGCAAAACTCTTCATCCCAACTAAGTTGGCACCAAGGGAAGCACCCAATCATATGCTAGCTCAACCCAAAAGGGATGGCGAGAAACCAAACCCAAAAAAACCAGAAAACAAAAAGCAAAAAATTACTACAGAAAAGCAGATCAGAAACTACACCAGCATCAACATCCTAACCTGGGACTTGCACCCACAGTCTCAACACAACCATACCAGTTTCATCTGAGCCTCAACCAGAAGCAATAGCAGCTCAGAGTCTTAGCGTACTTGAACCTTAGCCAAAACCAATACATAGTGCCTACTTGAACCTTAGCTTAGCTCATATACAAGTAGAACCACAACAGATTGGATCAAATCACGCAAAGGACTTAGCAAGCTCACCTTAGCAAACTAGCAGCCCACCCCAGGACTTGCAGCCATCCACCATCAGACCAACAGATTCAAGCATAGCATTCTAGCAGACCTTAGCATACTAGCAGCCCAGGTTCAAACCAGGACTAACAACCAGCTTCTTCCCAACAGTAGCCCACCAAATCAAAGCAGAATCCAACATCAGACCAATAGCAGTCCAAGAGCAGAACAGATTATCAAACCATAGCCTAGCATAACATCCCAAAATGACAGCCCACTTGCAGCCAGGACTTGCAGTAGTAGCACAACATAGCAGAGGCCAAACCAGTAGTAGCACAGCAACTCATCAACCGACTTGCAGCCATCCACCATCAGACCAACAGATTCAACCATAGCATTCTAGCAGACCTTAGCATACTCACTCCTTTTATCAGTAGCTCATAGCCCAGCAGCAATACAAATTAGATTAGCCCAGCAAGACAAACACCCCAACCGTCCACACTGCAGCAGCTCAGGCTAACAAAACAATTCAGCCAGCTCTCTGTTTTAACCACCACCTACACTGTGCAGTCTGCTGAGCAACAAAAACAGATCTACCACTCAATTCACTTGACTCACCCTAACCTTCATCCTCCTAAACAACAACCTGGGGGGACAGAGCAGAAGCAAACTCAAGCAGCAGCAGAAGAGTTCCAATCCACCAGCAATACCTAAGCACACCACCCAAATCAGTCAATAACCTCTGCAACCAGAGGAGTCCACCCAGATCAAACTCTAGCCTCCACACCCTGATGCTAATGCACTTCACAGTCATACCAGCCATATCACTTGCCTCCTTACACACTTCTTCCTGTAATACACTTTCTCACTTGCCTAAGATTAATCACAAAATCCTGAACTGTAAAACTATGATCTAAATAATACGGTCTCAACCACAGTGCAAATCTGACTTTTATCACTTCACATAACTGAGCCACATCAGGGATGGCAGCATTGAACACCACATCATTTCGAAGCTTCCACAAGGACCACAACACAACCAGAGGTACGACCCTCCAAATCTTTCTCTCCTTACTGCTGACCCACTCTCTATCCCACCATAGAAGCAACCCTTCAACAGTTCCAGGTAAGGCCCCTTGGACATCCCACCAATTCAGCATTTCAAACCACACAGATGATGCAAAGAGACAAGACACCATGACATGGTTCATAGTTTCAAATTCAGCTTTACAAAATACACATAGAGTTGATACATTGCTTTGAAGCACACCAATTCTTTCGAGAAAAACTAAAGTCTTTAATCTACTCTACCATGCAAGCCATTCCAGAAATTGGACTTCGGGAGGCAAGTA